GGTTTGGTGGCTGACGTTGGGGGGGGTGGGATCTGGGAGGGGGAAGGTGGTGGCTCTCAGAGTCTCTCTTTCTCACTCACTCACTCTCTCTCTCTGTTTTTGTATATATATGTATATATGTGTGTATGTGTGTGTGTGTGTGTGTGCCTGTGTGTGTGTATGTGTGATGTTTAAGTATATTGTAAACCCTAGTTGTCAACTTCACACCAAGACATGGTTGTCCCCAAGGACTAGACTCAACATTACCTCCCTAAGATGCGTTCCAACGCTTCGCAGTCAAGTGCACTCACAAGCAAAAGACATCGAGTGCCCACAACATAGATACTAAAGATACAACGGCTGGAGGGCACGGGGGAAGCGGGAGGGCAGACAACGTGCAAGCACACCAACAGGCAAAGTCCCAAAAGGATGCCAGTGCCAGGCAGACAAGAAAAACACCAAAGCAAAGCAAGCAAAAGGGCATCAAGGCATAGGCTGGAGGGCACGGGGGAGGGGAAAGGGCAGACAACATGCAAGAACACGAAACAGGCACACAAGCACACGAAGGCAGGCAAACCGAAAAAAATACAAGTCCCAAGTAAATTGGAAGACCGAAAAAGAAAAACCTAGGTTGTTGGATCGGACATCCGGGACCCCCCTGACCGTCCGGGATGTCCGACCGGACGTCTGGTCGGACGTCCGACCGGACAGTGTATATCCGACCTAGCGCAAAAAAACAAAAAACAAAAACAAAACAAGTTCTCAGAAAAATCTGAAAAAAATATATGTTATGTAACATAACAATACAAGCAACTTTTGCCCAGGAGTCATGTTCAAATTCACATCCAATCATGAGTTAAAAATCAAAAACCGAAAAAAATTTTTTTTTTTTTTTTTTTTGTGGAAAAAAAATAATTGTTTTTCCGAACGACGGGGGTACCGGACGTATGGGGAGACGTCCGGTGGAGACGACCGTCCCCCGGACCATTGGTAACCTACTGAAAAAAACATAAATTTCATATTATTTTTTTTGCTTTTTTTTTCCTTTCATATTTTTGATTTTTTTTAAATATAAAAAATCTTCAAAAAAATAAAATAAAAAACATAGGGTTGTAGATCTTGAAAATATCTACAACCCTATATTTGATTTTTTTTTTTTTTTGCTTATACTTTCCTGGGGAAAGAAATATTCCCGCGCCTGCTCAAACCTCGCTCAATCGCTTTTGAGCGCGGGATTGAGCGAAGCTAAAAATTTTGAGCTCTGACCCCGCGCTCAATCAGCGCGCGGTAACACAACTTGCTATGCATACGGAACAAGGATCAATACTTTTCCACAACTAGTGGGAAGTCTGTCCAATGGTTCAGCAAAAGCATCCAAGATTACTGCAGCACAAAGGGAGACAAAAGAGAAGGAACTGAAAACAGTTCTGCAAATGGCAGAGCATAATTTAATATCCCAATCGAGACAAACACACCTCGGAGAAACACTCTTTGCAGCAAAACGCCGGTTGTCGAATTGGAAGGTCTGGAAGGACGCAAGACTGTGACTACGAGCTGAGTCAAGGAACTTGAGGAAGGAGAAAAAATGACTAAATTTTTCTTTCAGAAGATCAAAAATAACACGTGCAACAAACTCATTGATCAATGGCCGAAGGACGATAGTACAATGTCAGACCCACAATAAATATTGACCATAGCAACGGACATCTACAATGAGCTCTATACCTCAAGGGAAGACCAACATCCCCCAATCCAAGTATAAGAGGCACGACAAAAATTCCTCGCCCACCTGGATAAAACTCTGTTGCAGGAACATGCAACAGAGCTGGATAAACCAATCACACCGGAGGAGGTCAAGTTGGTACTGCACTCCATGCAACCGAATAAAACTTCGGAAAGAGATGGTCTTTCGAAGGAATTTTGACAGACTTTTTTACCGATCTTTTAGCATGAATACATAATTTTTCTCAATACAGCCAACCAAGAAGAAGGACTGAGCAAGTACATAAGTACAAGAGTTGTCACACTGCTATACAAAAAGGGAGACCCCACAAATATCAGAAATTACCGTCCGATAACACTACTCACGGTGGTGTACAAGATACTGGCAAAACTCCTTGCTAATTGACTTAGAAACATCACCCGGAGTTGCTTCCACATCGAATCATGTCATGAGTTGCTTCCATATCGACCAGACATGATTCGTCATAGGGAGATTCATCCTTGACAACGCTATGACACTATGGAATTGGCGCAGTACATCACAAACAAGAATCTCGATAATGCCATATTCTTCTTTGACTTCGAAAAGACATACGATTAGGTCAACTGGAATTTTCAGCAACAATACATGGAGAAAATGGGCGTTGGACCGAATTTTCACAAATGGGTGAGAGTATTATACAATGATTCATACAGCCAAGTGCAACTCAACAACTTTCTTTCTCCG